GCTTGGCAGAGACCGCCAAGTACTCCGCCTCCTCATAGGAGTACTCACAGGACACAACAGGCTAGGCAGACACCTAACACTTATGGGAATAGAGGACATGCCTACTTACCGCAAATGTGGGGAAGACGAGTGCGAGGCATACGGGAGGCTGAGATTTGAAATCTTCGGAGTCGACAAACTCCAACAGGAGGAATTGATCATATTAGAGTGGACAGACATAGTGGCCTTCATCAGAAAGTCAGGAAGATTCTTAAAAGAAATCCAGGCGAAGGAAGCGTATAGTTATGTGGATGGCAGGGGTTAGCAAAAAGGGCCCATCAGGGCCTACTTGCTTGGCTACAGCCTCCCCACCTACTACTTCTACTACATACCATTGAATCATATATTCTTCAAACTGTGCAGGCACCAGATAGAACTTCAATCGTATTAATTCCTTGACGAACAGCTTCGTCAAAATAGAAATTTAAAGTGATATGATAACTCAATTTTGCGAATATTGGATTTTTGAGCCAATTACACGGAAACAAATATTTGTTGCACTAACTAAAGTATTTTGGTAAATTTTGTTGTTGTTAATTAATACACAATTTTGCGAAATCAACAAAGTATATGTTTATTCCAAATAAGCGGCTTATTGAAGAAGGCAAAATATTTTCATTTAAATATTTGCCTACTTGAACAAAATGTCATTTCATCAACAACATGTATAGTTGACTAATAAATTTTGTTGATCTAACTATCATCTCATTGTTCGATCAATCATATGTACCTTGATTATTCGACGAAATTGTTTTAATTTTGCCACAGGATTTAACGAAGTACAACATCATATTTTGTTTTTCCAACAATCATTTCATTGTTCAATCAATCAAATGCTTCTTTTGTAATCTGCAAAATTTATCTGATTTTGTCATTATATTTGTTGATTCGACATATCATTATCAATAAACATGTTGTTATTTCAAACAGATTATTTAGTTGAACAGAACCAACATAATATACATTATATCAAACTAGAAGGCGATCCTTTCCACCATCCTACGCTCACCTCGATAGGGGTGTACATATATACCTAGAACATCCGTTCATATAATTATTATCATATCAAGATGTCCTAGAACTTCGCTTAGAACGTCTTATAAAGATTGCAAGCTAATAGTATTGAATCAACTGACATTACTAATTAAATTCATCTCTATAACTTCTCTTAGTTTTGACCAGTTTGACATTCAGTTATTGAAAAATTTTATCAATATTATTCAACAAAATATTTTGTCAATTCTAAATACAATTTTATTAACTAGGAGGAAGTTATTGAACATAGCCCTCATGAAGAGATAACCGTATAAACGTGTTTCGGGCTTTCGGCTCTCATCAGTACGGTGAAATCACAAATGTGCGGCTGGCTTCTGTTTGTTGACTCTGTTTATTTGTTGTTCCGTTCTCCACCAAGTGCTGCCTATCCTTTGCACTACCTCACACCGTACTGAAGAGGGCGAAATCCCGAAACACGTGTATACGGTTATCTCTTTATGAGGGCCATGTCCAATAACCTCCTCCTAGTCACTTTACATCTTACAATTTTATTAATCGAATGAAATTTGTCATCGAATTGAAAAACTATTTTGATATATTCAAAATATACACCGTGCCCCAGCTAAAATGTCCCCCTCTGTAAAGAATCAACCGCGCGATCGAATGACTTGAAATTTGGTCACCCAGTATATTTGATGATACACACTATTGAATAAATCGTAGGTATACAGGGTCACACCGAAATGCACCTAAACTTCCCTATTTGAATAGGGACACCCAGTATATTATTCCATATTCAAGTAGAGTTCATTATTACAAATTCAACAATGCCGGGTTTGATGGGATTTTTTCAAACGACTACGAAGATATGGCAAAAAATAAAACGATTCAATAAAAAATTTATATGATTAGATTTTATTAATATAACACGATTAAAATCGAATTAAAAGAAAATGATCAAAACCTCAACTGCTCAATATTCATTCATTCATTGATTTATTTATTTATTTATTTATTTATAGAAAACTAACAGGCTTACACCTACTCACAAGTTTTCTAACCAAAACTAATCTAACCTAACTTTCACTTAGATCTAACAGCAATTATCAATTACCTTAGAGCCTTAGAGAATACAGGTATCAATTTTAATTAGAATAAATTCAACAAATCCTTCCGAAACTTGGCTAATTTGGTATAAAAAAAAACTATTTATTCTGTCAACATACTTATTACAAATTTGGGGAATACTGTTCATTAAAGAGTCACTTGTTATCGAAACATGAAAGAGTATGGGTCTGGGACGGATATGTCGTCCATTCCGCTGCAAACATGTCCTAGCTCTTTTGATAACGTTTATTGTGACCCTATGTATCACGTTGCGATCAATTTGTGCGCATAAATTTGTCATTTCCTCTTTCATTTCTTCCATATTCATAATTGGCGACTTATAAACCTGTTGTTTCAAGTAGCCTCACAAATAAAAATCAAGTGGGGTGAGGTCTGGCGACCCAGCTGGCCAGTTGCCATCACCAACACCATCGAGACAATTGGTGGTTATTAGATGTTCTCCAAATCGATGGCAAAGATATTCCTTTACGGGTCTGTAGTTATGTATCGTTCCATTTTCTGCCATATCTTCGTAGTCGTTTGAAAAAATCCCATCAAACCCAGCATTGTTGACTTTGTAACAATGATCTTTACTTGAATATGGAATAATATACTGGGTGTCCCTATTAAAATGAGCAAGTTGAGGTGCACTTCGAGTGAGCATCATCGAATATACTGGGTGACCAAATTTCAAGTCATTCGATAGCGCGGTTGATTTTTTACAGGGGGGGACATTTTAGCTGGGACACGGTGTATATTGTTATTTTAACATATTCACTTCCTGAAAAACATAAAATTTTGTCACTTGAATGAGATAACATCATTATTTCTATCAAGAGAAAGTGTTCATTAGAACAGATATTGTATTTTGTCAATTCTTGCGGTTGATTTGAATCAATAATGAGTCACATCAAATGAATTTTATGTTAAAATCTGACACGATGAATTTGTTGCGGGACGAAATATTTTGTCGTGGATATTTTTTTTGTTTCAAACAATTTTTTTTTTCTGTGTAGGATATCTATTTTGAACGATTTAAGTATTTTCCCAGCTATATCCCGAACTGAGAACGAATTGACAACGGCGTAATAACGTGAACTGTTTTAAGGAAAAGAAAAAAGAACACCCCATACGTATGTGATTCTAATTGGACAACAAATAAAGTGAACATTGAATGTTAATTTCTCGTATACCTACATAACCGAATTATCTGGTGATATATTACTTAATCAACGCACTGAATTTTGCAATTCCCCAATCCAATCTCACTTGATGGGATTCCTGATGAAGCAAATATAATGTTGCATAGGATTCAAAAACCAGCGAAATTACTTTTGAAAATTATTATTATACATTTTCGAATAAGTACATACGTAGGAAATTTTCACAGAAAATGAAGGATATCTACCTATAGGTGGTCACGATAATCAAGCCACACTTGTAACTCAAGACAAATATCTTGAAATTTTGACAGATGTCAAGTTTCGTATTTGTTATTGTCGTTTTGTTCATTGAGTCATTTCTTTATTATGCTTGTTGACTGAACAAAATTTGGATCAATATATACAGTGGTTTATTGATGAAGTACTGAATAAATTCATTTCTATCCAAACTCTTAATTTCTGAGGAATCTTCTGGAACAAGTCGATTTCAAATCTCAATTTGCCACTTTCACAAGAGAATATTAAAAGCACAAGGTGATCAACGTTCAATGGCGGCCTTGACAATTTCTCCACATAGAACACCCTATATATTATTATACCATCAGATTTTCAGAATCTCCGTGGAAAGCTGGTCTCAAAACATATGGTTGATTTGTACATAATTCGTCCGTAAAAATCAGTGCTCTCGATTAAAAAAATTCCGATGACGTCATTTCTCCTACAAGAATCATTCTGATTGATTCTGATGTTATAATATTTTGTTGTTTAATATTATGTATGCTCATTTTTATTGTTATACTCATCAAAAACAAAAAAGAAGTATTGAGTATAAAGAGTTTTCACCCACGAACTAGTCGAAATACTTCAGTGGGATTTTCTCTGTTTTCAATTCTGTTCTTGATGTTGTTGATCTTGTATGATGTTGATAATGTAATTATCTTGAATTTGAAAATAATATTATTACTATATTATTATTATTGTATTTAAAAATATGCTCACATGGAAATACATTTCTACGTTGAGCATTTTTTCCAAAAATTACTCCATGTAAACTTTTTGAAAAGAGAATGAGAACTTTTTTAAATACAAGAGAATCATTCTTGAAATATCTAACAGAAAACAACAACTTCCCTGGCTACTACCTACTCTCTTTTTCTCTCTAGGTATACGCACGATGCTCTTCGAACATTATACGGATACGCTTTCGTGCGCTCCAAGAGATAAAAATACAATAAATGCACTGTGTAGGTGTTATTACAATATCAAAAATATCAGCTATTTTCATGTCAAATTGGTTAAGACGTTTTCTCAATGGGATATATGATTATATGATCAACACGTAAATTCCCGGACCAGGTCAGAAAAGTGTTATTTCCTCGAAAGAAAATAGTCTGGGAAGTGATTACTTTCCGGATGGTTCTCGAAACAGGATTTCTAAAACCCAAAAATGGGAAAACATACAGGGTGCTCTGTTTCGGGAAAAAAATTGAGGCTTCGCCGAAAAAGACTCAATCAATACCAAATTGAATTAACGAATGCGAAATTTGACGTGTTCAAATCTGTCTGAATTTCAAAATTCTACCTTGAAACACATCAGTTACAAGCTCGATTACAAGGGTATAGCACGATTCTTGTGCTCACCCGGTATATATATATTGTAAGATTGAAGAATATTACAATGAAAGCAGGAATAGTTCATTCTACTTCTAGCTTCGGATTCATTCTTCCACTAAGTTTATCAAGACCTCCTTGAGACCTGAAAGAAAAAAAACACATTAATAGACAGGGTGGGACATCACGTCATGCCATGCGTTTTGGCGATAATCACTTGGGAAACTTCACGATTATTTTCAGAATCTGTAAGTCAATGTACAGGGTTATCCATCGAGAAGGCCCACCCCCATATTTTCGTTATACTTTCACTTAGAAAAAAAAATAATATGCGGAAATTCAATGCCGCAATGATACCTTTTCAAGGCATTCATCAGAGGTTATACAGGGTGATTCCTAAGAGCGTGGCAAACCACAAATCAATTTTTTTAAATGGAACACCCTGTTTTTCATATTTTTTTCGAGATCTGTGATCTTTTGCGATCACAAATATATAAATATACAGTATGTTATCTTTCACTGTTTTTCGTTAATCACAATTTTCCTGGTCCCAGAACAACATTTTGTGTGTGATGGCATCTTTATCGTGCAACTATATCCATGATTGAGAATGTATTCGACTCCCGTTATTTTTTATTTTAGGGAGGATAGGGAGATGTGGTAGGTGTTGAAATTTTTTTTGAACTTTTGGAGGTTATAAGTTCTTGGGAATTCTTCCATTGGCAAAGAATTCCAAAGCTTCTCCGTTACATGTATACATTATCAAATACAAGCAGAAACATCGTGACCACTTATTGAAAATAATCAAAAACTTTTCTAACAATTATTTAATCATAACGATCATGAATATTATATTGATTGTAACAAATTCAATCTAACAGATAAAATTTAAATTACAGAACTCATATACCTAACTACAAAAATTGCTCAAAGATGGTCACAGCAAAGCATATAGGTAAAGTAAGGTAATCTCGTGACATAGGCAATGTCGTGATAGTTCTTGAAATATTTCTGAGGACATTGCCTGTCTTCAAATTTACCTGCTCGATGGTCCTAGAGATGGCGGAACTTGTACTCCAGCTGGCTGACCAACTTAGATGCTTGTACTCCGGGTTGCAGCCTCACTCTTCAGAATAAACAACAAATTCCATTGCTCACAGAGTGCGTTGCATTTTACGATTGCCGTTCGTGTCGTTTGTGGTTGTAATTAAGGTAAATATCAATTTTGATCAATGTGTGATATCACATTTTGAAGATTATGAATTGTAGTTGATGCTCAGCTTTTAAATTTTGTTGATTCCATTTATGGGGTGTTTATAAACCCTTAGCTAACGTAGCAAGATTCTTAGGGTGTGACTCCATTATTTTCTGCATTCTATTCAACTGCTGATAAAAAAAATATATTTTTTTTCTAAATCAATAATAGAGTAGTTTATTGTAATATCACGCCACTTTAGACTTGTATGAATAATATCTTCAGTATTTTGAGGTCTGAATCTTTGTTTTTTTCTATCACGACATTACCTACCTATTTTGAAATGGAAAAAAGTAAACAAAGCTGGTTCAATAGGTTTCATTCACTGTGTATCTTTTCTTTTGTAGAAATATGACTCATAAGAAGAAGAAAGTCCAAAAAGGCAAAGAAAGACAATATGAACATGCCAGCTTAGTTCAAGCAGCTCGGCTTGTGCGGAATCAAAATTTTAGTCTATATCGGGCAGCTAAAGACACTGGTGTACCTTGGTCGACGCTGAAAGACTTCCTTGCAGGCAATGCTGATATTGAGCATTCCACTTTGCCAAAATTGGGAAGACCATTCACTCTGCCTCCGGAATTGGAATTGAAAATTTATAATTATATCAACACCATGCAAGAGTTGGGATTTGGGCTGACTGTTCTGAAAGTGCGTAAACTGGCATATGATCTAGCGAAAACAATAAACCGCGAAAAATTCTTCAATACAGAGAAGCAAATAGCGAGCAAATGGTGGTGGTCCAAGTTCAAAGAGCGATATAACTTATCACTTCGTACTCCAGAAAATCTTTCAGCTTATAGAGCATCTATGGCCAACCCAACGATGATTGACGATTATTATTCTAAACTGGAAGACCTCTTAACAAAACTAGATATCATGGACAAGCCTGATAGAATATGGAATGTTGATGAGACTGGCCTAACATGAGTGGAAAAATTGTCAGCCAGGTTGGTAAGAGATTCATTTATAAGAGAACTTACGCTGAACGAGGAGATACTCACACTGTGATTGGCTGTGTCTGCACAAATGGCACCTTCATTCCCCCATTTGTCATATTCAAAGGAGTTCGGTGGAATGATGATTTAGCAAAGAATGCTCTACCCAATGCCAAAACTAGGCTATCTTCAAAAGGATGGATAAACGAACAGTTGTTCAAAGAATGGTTCGAATTCTTTATAGCTTCTATCCCTTCTTGCAGACCTGTTGTTTTATTGATGGATTCCCACAGTTCCCATATAAATCCAGGAATAATTCAATTAGCAAAGGACAACCAAATTTTTTTGTTTACTTTTCCTGCGCATACCTCACATCTATTGCAGCCATTAGATGTAGGTGTTTACAAGCCTCTGAAAAGTCATTGGGGTAAAGCTCTGAATAATTACATGCTTGCTCATCCACTTGAAAAACCCAGCCGTTACAACTTTCATGAGATTTTCAGCGAACCTTTCATAGCAAGCATGACACCAATGAATATTATTAATGCATTCAAGAAATCTGGAGCCTATCCCTTCAATCGGAATGCAATTCCACCAGAAGCTTTGAAACCATCGATGTTAACAGACCAGCCAGCTCCTGATCCGCAAATACAACTGTTATCAACGTCAGAAGCATCTACTCCTGTCAAAACAACTTCTAGCTCTACACCTTCCCTGACGGAGGACGAGATTCTGAAAGTGCCTAATGTGCAGAGAAGAGAAATATCAACACGCAAGAGAAAGGGGGACTCTCGGGCCCGCTTGCTAACAACTTTCGATGCGGATACAGACTCAGATGGTCCAGTTGCTTCCACATCAACTACAATTGAAGCTCCCAGCTCCTCTAGGACCAATGATGAAGAAGACGAAGATTGGACTTGCGGAAAATGTGAGGTGAAGTTTTCTTTTGATGTCAAACGGAAAACTGGCGCCAATTGGGTACAATGTTCCTTCTGTCTCACTCCATACCATACAACCTGTCAAACTGACTTCCAAGATGATGAAGATGTGTACATGTGCAATACCTGCGAAGACCTAGAAGATAACAGGCACCAGTGATTGTAATTATAAATGAGTGTCATGTTGAATTGTAATGAAATGTACGCATTTGCATTTTATCACGACATTAAATTACCCATATCACGACATTATATGTCCTATCACAACATTGCCTCATTTTTCCGCATCAACAAAAATCCATCCAAAAATTCAGGATTTTTGATAATCAATGTAATTTTTCATGAATATGTTGCCTAAGTATTGTAAGTTTACTACCGGAGTTCGAATATTGATTTCCTTTGATTTTTCATGGAAAAATCTACAGTTTCATCAGAATATCACGAGATAACCTTACTTTACCCTACCTTTTTTCCAGGTTGATTATTGATTTTGCTATTATTCCCGAGCGCTCCCTATTCAAACAATCAATTTCTTCGATTATCTTATATCTAAGTTCGTTAATATTCTCAGTTGGTTCACTATAAATTTTATTTTTCAAGTAGCCCCATAAAAAAGTATCTAGTGGCGTCAGATCTGGACTGTTTGCTGGCCATAAAATAGTTCCAAACCTCCCAATCCATTCATGGTATTGGGCATTCAGAAACTCTCTCACGTCTCTTGAATTGTGCGGAGGAGCCCCATCTTGCTGCCATATAATATTTTTAGGTTTCTTATTTCATTTGTTAGGAAATTGTAGTAAATTCTTCCATTCAGATTGCCATTGTATAGAATGGGGCCAATTATTATTATTTGGTCACAAAGACCACACCAGACGTGTACTGATTGCCTTCCCTGAACTTTAATTTGAGAAATTTTATTGGGATTCTCTGACGCCCAGTGTCTACTATTCTGTCTGTTGAATATTCCCGCTGTTGTGAATGTAGCTTCGTCGGTCCACAATATATTTTTAAAAAAGTTAGGATCTTCTTCTAACCTACCAATCATATACCTACAATAATTTAACCTATTATGTATTTGAGCATCGCTCAATTTTTGCACTGGCATGCTTTTATATGCTTTGAATTTATTTATTTTCAAAGCCCTGTGTATGGTGCCATATGAACAACCCAAAGTATGCACAGCACTAGTCAAGGAACAGTTGGGATTTTCTTGAAAATATAATAAGATATTCAACTCGCGCTCTTCGTTACCCTGAAACATTTTTTTCTCAGTGGTTAGGTTTCCAGTGGATTCAAGTTTACTGTTCAATTTTTGAAAAGTTCTTCTATTAGGTAAAGCTCGTTCAGGGTATAATCGGGCATATTCTCTCCGAGCTAGAATGTTCAATCAGAAATTATATATTTACCTGATGAATTTTGTAATTGTTTACCCTCTGAAGCATTTTTGTTATTTTTTATGTATAAAGACATTATATCATATCTTTTTGCGATTGTAAACATTTCGACAAATTACGACACACAAAATAACTAAACAGTTTTCGAACGTATTTTGTGACGGTAACATGAGGACACGACATGTCAAATAGTTTGGGTTTCAAAGCTTACTTGATTTATTTTGATGCCATCACACACAAATTTTGATTCTGGACCACAAAAATTGTAATTAACGAAAAACAGTAAGAGATAACATCTGTATATTTATATATTTGTGATCGCAAAAGATCACAGATCTCGAAAAAAATATAAAAAACAGGGTGTTTCTTTAAAAAAACATTGATTTGTAGTTTGCCACGCTCTTAGGAATCACCCTGTATTCTGATGAATGCCTTAGAAAGGTCTCATTGCGGCATTAAATTTCCGCATATCTTTTTTTTTAAGTGAAAGTATAAGGAGAATATGGGGGTGGGCCTTCTCGATGGATAACCCTGTACAATTAGAAACTAATTTGGGGCATATCGATTGAAAAAAAAATCTCTGACATACAATTCGTAGGTATATACTTGCTTATGAGATAGCC